TATTTTTTTTTTACTTTTTTTTTTTTTTTTTTTTAAATAATATAAATCAAAAAAAAAAAAAAAAAAAAAAAAAAAAAAAAAAAAAAAAAAAAAAAAACTTTTTTTTTTTTTTTTTTTTTTTTTTTGTTTTCTTTTTTTAAAAGAAAAGAAAATTTCATTACTTTTTCGTTTGTTCAATCGTTTGTTGTTTCATGTCATTTAATTGTTGTTGTGAATTTTTTAATTTTTTAAAACATGATCGAATTATATTTAAATTATGTTTTTTTTTTATTTCATTTTCATTTTCATCATCATCATTTTCAAGTAATGTTTTAATCATATGAAAACGTTTTTCTTGAAATGTTTGTGATGGTATCATACCTGCTAATTGTTGTATTTCAACATCACCTACTCTATAAGCTTGCCACCAATTTTCATCTTGTTGATTAACAACATGTAAAATATCACCATAACAAAAAAATAAACCTAAATCTTTACATGGTAAATAGGGATCATCATCTGGATCATATTTAAATAGTGTACGAATATAAAAATTTTTTAATAAATTATCATTTATAAATGTTGGATTTATTTGTTGTTCATTTGTTATTGTTGTTGTTGTTGTTGTTGATGGTAAAATTAAAAATATTAATTGTCCTTGTAAACGATCAATTAATTCTACAACATCATTTACTGTTCGTCCACGAATAGTATGAAAATTAATTTCAAGTATTTCATCATTAATTTGAAATAAATTTTTATCTTGTTCACATACACCACCATGAATAATTCGAGATATAAGAATAGAATCTTTATCAGCACGAATTGTACAACCTAATGGTTCATCGAGACGTTTATCGATACGAATAATTTTTAATTTTTGACAAGAATATTGTTCAAGTTTAGATGCATAAAGTTTTTGATCATCTTGATCAGTTAATTTACTCGTATCATCACCACTTTGAATAATCATTGTTTGAGAACGCCAAGACGATGAGGATGGTGGAAGAATAATATCGTGAGCATCTTTCACTTCTTCAGTCGGTTGTATGACAATCATAATAGACTAGAAAAAGTGAAAAATAAAAATAAAAAGATTTGAAAATAATGAACATGTTGACTTTTTTATTATCGTACCTTTGTTTCTTCACAAAATTTGTCACTATGACTCTGAAAAAAAAATCATTTAAATTAAAAGTCGATGTACTCTCTCTAATAGAATTTTCTAATTTGATCATGGCCTGTTTTAACTTACTTACTTTTCAATGTTATTAAACTTTATGGGAAAGAGTTCAGAAGAAAAAAAAGGTGAGATTATAACTAAACAAATCCAGAAGATACCTTTTCATTGTGATCGATCGATTTTGTCGATGAAGTTCGACTATTTGTTCTTTTTTTCATACTCATTGTCTCGTACGTTTGATCATAGGCTTGTATTACTGAACGAAATATTTGATTATTTAATATATTTAAAAGATCATTCCATTCATGATCCGTTTTTGTTAATTTATAATCGATTAATTCATTTAAAAGTGTTTCAAAACATATTCTATGCATTTTATCCATAATTATTGGTATTTTTTCAATATTTTGTTCTTGTTCTACTTCGAATGTTATCTTTTGTGAGAGTGAATTAGGTGTTGTTGTTATTGTACTATTACTATTTGTTATAGTAGCAGGATCGAGAAATGATGTAGACGAGAGTGTTGATGAATTTGATGGTGGTTGTTCATCTTGTGATTGTGGCGCTTCTGTTATACCAACCATTTTTTGATATAAATCAAATGTATTTTGAAATATTTGTGTTTGTAAAATTTCTTTTAATTTTTCATAATCATTTAAAAGTATATCAGTAGTTATGGATGAATTAATAATAATATTTTCTTGTTGTTCGTTCAATGTACCATTTTTTGTATTGATTGAAGACGAATGTACAACATTTTTTTTTATAAATGACATTTTACTATTTTTTCTCTCGTTCTCTCTTTTTGTCTCATAAATATAGATGAAGACAGTTAAAGGTGTATCAAATGTCCAGTATACTCTAAAATACATGTGCATACATATTCTGAACAGTGTTCTTTTCTCTTTACTTTAGTTAATGTTCAAAAAATTCAAAAAAAGAAAAAAAGAAGCAAAAAAAGGTTTTTCTTTTCTTTTTTTCAAACGGGACATATAGTGGATGAGCGCGCAAATATTGATACAAGAAAGTGAGTGAAACGAAAAGAGAGAGAGAGAGAGACAGAGAGAGAGAGAGAAAAAGAGTGAAAAGAAAAAAAGTAAATTATATTCAATAAATAGTTTTTTTATTCAATTCTCGATGGACACTATTTCTCGTCTCTATGTTTAAATTGAATATTGTCTCTATTCTATCATCTTTATTCGTACACATTTGTTCGTTCGTTTGTTCGTTGTGTTATTTTTATTTTATTTTTATATCTTTAATAAATACGGTGTCCATTTTTTTTGTCTATCGGAGAGAAGAAACTTAATCTTACTCTAAGGCCACTTGTTTCATATGAGAACAAATTCATATTGTTTACGTAATAAAACAGTGGTTAATGAAACGCATACAAAAGACAAAAAAAAAAAACTTTTTCAACATATACACAACAAAAACAAAACAAGAAACAAAGATAAGAAAAATAAATGATTATTATAGAAGAAACAGAAAATGATTCTTATCACTACGAAAAGGAGGAAAGACGTACTTTTTTTATTGTTTTTTATTTTTTCTTCTTTTTCTTTGGAGGAGAAGAAAAAAAACTAATATGTTGCTCATTTTTTTCTTCTTCTTAGAGAGATAAATGGCATAATACTCATTTGAAGAAAAAAAGGAGAATAGAAAATAGTGCGAAGATAACAAAGTCGATAGTTATTGTAATTATTTGTTTGTATTGATGGATAGTGACTATTTATTAGAGATTAAAGAACATCAAAAGTATCATTACAAAGCTAATGATAAAAAATAATGGATGTATTTACATAGAAGAATAGAAAAACGAGAGAAAGACATAATTACCTTGACTTGTTATTACTAACGGCAGTCATAATAATTAATTAGGTCAATTTTAATATTATGAAATTAAAAGTATAGAAACAATAAAAGTCTACGTTTAGGATATAGACCTTTTATGTCAAAAATAAATTTTCTATTGTTGTTTTTTTTTGTTTTTTGTCTATTTATTTCTATTGTGTGTACAAAAATAATGACGACTGACTATTGATATTTTTACCTTGTAATTAATCTTTTAAGTCTAAAAATGATTATTATCGATTTTTTAAAGCTTTAATAATTTGAAAAAAAAAATTTAAAATAATAACAGTATTTGTGCTAAGGAAAAGAAATGTTAGGATTCTTATCACTTGTTTGATAGTATGTTGGTATAATAAAAAAAACGTTTGATTAGAGAACATTAAAATCTTCTTTTTTTTTTATGCACCTACTTAACAGTGGGGTAATCCAGATGTTTTTTTCATACTTTCTATTAATATTTTGCCATTAGTGTTCACAGTGTGTCTTCAACTTGTCTATATTTATATGTATCGTTAAATCGACTCACGAGATAATCTCCTGCTGTAATCGGTGCATATTTTGGTGGATTTTTCTCATTTATACATGTTTTTAAACATTCTATTTTTGTAAAATAATCTGGTCCAAAAAAAAATGGTATCGAATATCTTTCTCGTCCTGATGTATTAATTACGCGATGTACTGTTGAGATAAATACTCCATTTGTCCATCTTGCCATCATATCACCAATATTGACTACAAATGTTCCATCAATTGGTGGTGCTTCAATCCATTCACCAAGAACATTTTGAACTTGTAAACCTTTTTCATTTGATTGAGATAGTAGAGTAAAACATTCATAATCGGTATGAGAACCACAACCTAATTGATCGGGATCGATAATTGGTGGTTGTGGTGGATAATAGAGAAGACGAAGAGTACCCATTGGTTTTTGAGTAATTGATTCAAAATAATTTTCTGGTAGATTAAGTGCCAAGGCAAATGATTTCAAAAGACGATGTGCTAAAAAGAAGTGTTGAATAATTTTGAAATTGAGTATTAACTATACTTTCATATATTCGCTAGGAAAACAAAAGTGGCAGTCGATTTTTTTTAACTTTTTCAACATTATAAAACGACATTTTAGAAAAAATAATTATACTATTTGATAGTGCTTGGAGTTTTCTGTTAACTTGTATATTCACATTTTCCCTTGCTCTTGTTCATTAGAAGAAAAATCGAGTGAAATAAAGACACCCTCATCGTCAGATTCCCACAGACTGCATTTTGTTACTATTTCTTCAATTTGCATTTTAAATTTATCATCACTATAGAAATTACTTTTTATTAAAGTAATTATATATCCTGATAGCGCTTGAAATTCTCTATCATCCTACATATTTATGTACTGTCTTGCATTTATCTGCTGAAAAATAATTTGAGTACAGCGAAGGTACCCCCAATTGGTAAGTACCAAAAAGCTGCTGCATTTTTTCGCTACTTTTTTAGTTTTTTTCCACACCATCTGTTCTAAAAGATTCTTTTTACAGACCACAAGAAAGAGTAAAGAACTGACTTCTCACTCTTGCAACCCTTTTTATACGGAAATAATAGCAAAAGAAAAAGGTTCAAGTGGGAAAAAAAATAACAGATTTTCGTCGTTCGTATAATCTGCGTAGTTTTTCTTGATTAAAGCTCTAAAAAATTGAAGTTTAGGTATAGTTTTGTAAAGGAATTCGCGACGCATCTTTTTAAACAAACCATTAGCCTTTGAATCCTAAAAAAAGTACGAGAAAAATAGAAAATACTGAGAGGTCGCACCCGTTACAATTTCTGGGAATCTGACGATGAGGGGACCGTCATTGCACTCAATTTATTTTTCCAGTAAATAAATGCAAGATAAGACATAAATATATGGGATGATAGAGAACTCCGAGCGCTTTTAGAATATATAATTATCTTTTTAAACATGTATTTTTTATAATGATACTATATTAAAATAACCGACTGCAGCTTTTGTTTGCCAGGGGAAGATAATTACCGAGTTTTAAAACAGATAAATAATATTCATCATAAACACATTCTTTAAATCCTTGTAAATTTTTTGGCCATACATTGGGACCATGAAGTTGAGCACCACGTTCTACTCTATCAACATCATTTTCCTCTAATTCATTTGCACAATCAAATCCTTCTTTTAAATCACCTTTTAACGATAATTTTTCTTCGTATATTGGCGTATAACCACGATTTAATGATGTTAAACCGATATAAATTAACATTTTCTCTTCAATTGGTAATGAGAAAAATCGTCGCGCTTGTTCGTACACACGACTAATAAGATCGGATGAAATTCCATGATTTTTTATATAAAAAAAGCCCACATTTCGACAAGCCGAACCAATTTGTTCAGCAATTTCGACTTTATCTTTATCATTTCCATTCAAAAAGCGTCCAAAATCAACAAGAGGAATTTCAGAAAATGGTAACGATTTCCCTTCATATGACATGATAATTATTTGAGTGAAAGTCGATGTGTGAACGAATGCAAATAAAAAAAATGACTATTTAACGAATGATTAGAACGAAAAAAAAATAATCTATGATAAGAACAGATGTAGACCGATTTGCACGAAAAGCTACTTCTTTTAGTAAGAAAAGAACATGGATAAATAGCTATATATGCAAAACTTCAAGAAAATTATCTTCTAACCTTTTCGTTGAATTTTTTGCGAGCGGCCTTGTCCAAGCATAACGGCGTGACATTTTTGACATAGTAATTTTCAATTTTTATAAAAACTATAAGAAGTAGAAGGATGGTTTTACCGGCATTTTATGCAGTTCATTGTCCTCTGTCTTCAGTAAAAAGAAATGAGAAAATTTGGGTAACATTTACGACTTTGGGAAGGAATATTTGGTGCGTGACGGACGTGTCAGAGAAAGACCCTAAATTGCGAGTACATCCAGTTAAACGCTAATCTTTTTGCGAAATTACTTGAGCAAATGGAAATTCTAAATCGATTTAGTTTAGTTGATTAGTTTTTTCCAAATGAAAACTGTCTAGAGCGAAGGTTATTGAGAAGCTTATGAGCTCTCGAATATTAAAAAGAATTTTCTTCCAAACTCTTTCCCCCGCTTATAAATGTGGCTGCGTGACACACTTTTTTTTAGTGAATTTTCAGGCACTTAATGTTCACCAAAAAACTTGATTTGCTTTGGTGATATTCTATCGATTTATATAAAAAATAAAGTTTAAAAAGTTTTTTCAGGCTTTTGAACTTGACTGGAACCTTAAAACATCGAAAAGGCATACGTTTTGTGCTTAAAGTCGAATTGTCGATAACAACGAGCCATTTTGTAGAGAATTTAATTTTCTATCGAATGATGTAAATCTTAAATTTTTTAAAAAGGTTTCTAGATCAAAAGTTTTAAATTAAAATTTTTCCACTGAAATTTATATTTTTATTTGTTAACGAGTCGGATTCATAATCAATGCGAAAAACACCACCTCAACTGTTTTCGCCTTTTTGATAAAACAATTTGAAGTCAGGGAAGATTTTTTGAAATAAAACTATACTCTATAGAGCCAATTTCTAATAATACCATATCATCAGGCTTTAGTCTTTCATAAAAAAGAAGTACGTCATGCCATTGTTCCTCGAGTCCTTGAACATAAAAATTTGACAAAAGGGAAACCGCACTCACACATTCATACGAAAAACAGCTATTAAGAGTAGGAAAAGAATAACCACACTGTTGTATGATGAATTATTTATTTCTCTACTAATAGTGGAACTACATGATCAATAACTTGACATACTGGGATAACATGAACATTGGCAAAATCTTGCAATAATGATATTTCATCTGGTGAACTTCAAATAAATGTTTATTATCACTTACCATATTTTTTATGATTTCTTGTTGCTCGACTACCTTTTTTTTGTTTAATTCATGATTTGCTCTACGGCGTGTCTGACTAATGGTACCCTGTTTTGGCTCTTTTTCAAAAAATTCTTGCAATAAAACTACAAACTAATCTAAGATTCGAAATAGATAATTAAATAGATTAAACATCTCTCTATAAAATAAGAGAGTGTCTTGGCTCTGGCAGTTGATTCATTATAAAAATACAGCTGTTGTACAAATGATCCAAAATATCAATTTTGGAGCTATTTGGAAAACGTGTTTAAAAGAGTAAAGACAAGCAGGTGAAAATCCAACAAGTATATCAGGTTGTAGAAAATTGTTTGCTCTATAGGATATAATAGTTTTTAAATATCAAAACTAGCTCATTTCATCTGTATTAATTAAATAAAAACCAAGCAAACCGTAACACGATGATAGAAAAGGGTTAAAAGTGTTATCATGTTACCGGCCATATAAACGCTGCACGATGAACGATAGGTCATACTTCCAACCTTTTTACATCTCTTATAGAAGCCATCGCGATCTGTAAAATAATGCAACATTCGCTTTCATTTCTGCTCACAAGCGTGAGAGAATAAGCGCTGATGCAGAAAATGTGTCATCGCGTTACCTGCGGACAAGCCGTCTAGATGATGCCTCATTTGATCGGCCTTCTTCTCCATTTCCTCCACTCGTTTTTCGAAGTCATTGTTCGGGTTTCCTCGATTCGATATCGGCTAGCATTGTGTCCATCTAATGGCGGAAAATCTCGGTTATTTTGTTGATATAATGGACTACTGTTTCGCTTATGACTAGTATTTTGAGACGATAACAATGATCGTATTAAGACACTACTGTAAGATTTGATTTCCGGACACCGAATATCGTTCGATTCATGTTACCCCGTTACATCGAATACAGTGCTACTGTTTATCACATTTATCTTTGTGTTGCTGGATATCCGGAACAGTTTTTCCACATGTTTTACAGATATTCAGCGCTTTTGTACA